GAATGCCCTTTTCAAGGAGACACTGTCTGAACACAGCTTGCTGGCCCAGCGGAGAGAGATGCTTATTGCTAAGCAACTTCAGTTCCTGAAGTCAACCTACTAGAGAAGGCGCTCCTGGCGGTGCAAAGCCCATTCTTCCTGTCTCCTTTAAGTAAACAAGCATTGCAAACTCTCCTTTAAAAAATCATTTTAAAAAGAACCTTCCTTCCTGACAGTAGGCAAGGATTAATTTTAAAGATGAAACTGTTGGACAATCCTTTCCTCCCATCTCTTCAAAACTAGCAGAATAATTCATGAGGTGCCCTTTGAACATTACAGACATTGTAAACATCTGAGGGAACAATCATCAGACTAGTTTCTAAAAGGCAGAGGAATGGCCTATATTTCTGCCATAATCACCTCAGTGGGCATAGGATGGTGAATTTTAAATTCAAACAACAAAAAGGAACAAGCAGTATGATGCTAGCTTCTCCTCTTCCAAGCCCTGGGAATAATTCCTGGCTCCATCACTTACTACTTGTGCATACTTCACTAGGTTACTTAACCCTCTGAATTTTCTTTTTCACCAGTAAAAAAGGGCATAATACAAGTGAAGTTAATGTAAAAGGTAGCATGTAAAATCCTTCACTCAGTGATGCTAATTCCTCCTTTTTTTCTTCTAAAATCTTAAAATGATCACAAGAATTTAACATAAGAATTAGATTGCAGCCGAAACCGGTTTGGCTCAGTGGATAGAGCGTTGGCCTGTGGACTGAAAGGTCCCAGGTTCGATTCCGGTCAAGCGCATGTACCTGGGTTGCGGGCACATCCCTGGTGGGGGATGTGCAGGAGGCGGCTGATCGATGTTTCTCTCTCATCGATGTTTCTGACTCTCTATCTCTCTCCCTTCCTCTCTGTAAAAAAATCAATAATATATATATTATTGATTGATATATATATTGATATATATATTATTATTGATATATATATAAGAATTAGATTGCAAAGTGAATACAGTTTTATTCTTAGACACTATCTAATGGTTCCCAGTTAAAATTTCAGGTTGATGTTTTTTAAAAAAATATATTTTGTTGATTTTTTACAGAGAGGAAGAGAGAGGGTTAGAGAGTTAGAAACATCAATGAGAGAGAAACATTGGTAAGCTGCCTCCTGCACACTCCCTACTGGGTATGTGCCTTGACCAGAATTGAACCTGGGACCCTTTAGTCCACAGGCCAATGCTCTATCAACTGAGCCAAACCGTTAGGGGAGGTTGATGGTTTTCAACAATGGGGAGATATGTTAGAAATACACTTTATATTTGAATACTAGAGGCCCGGTGCACAAAAATTTGTGTACTGGTATGGGGGGGCGGTGTCCCTCAGCCTGACCTGTGCCCTCTCACAGTCTGGAACCCCTCAGGAGATAACCACCTGCTGGATTAGGCCCACTCCCCAGGTGGCAGATGGCAGGCCCAATCCCACAGTGCCTGCCCCGCCACCCCGGGTTGCACACGGCAGGCCCGGATGGCAGAGCCCCTGCCTGCAGTATGCAAATTTAATGGCCATCTTTCTTGGGTTAATTTGCATACTCTTCTGCTTGGCTGATGGGTGT